ATTATATCAATAAAACTTATCATCTATTTTCAATTGCATTACAATAAAAAAAATGTTTTTAAAAATAGCTGTTTCATTATACGTACAATTCAAAACATAACCTAAAATTTCAGATGTCCCGTTGGTGAAACACAAAGATTCCATTAAAATATCATGTACGTTTAGCCATTGGGACATCGCGTACCACTATTGGGACATGCATTCTCAACGATGTTTCGCGTTAGGTACAACATTACGTAGTAAGTTTTTATTAATTATAATTATTTCTTGCTAAGACAAAATTATAAAAAAAATTGTGTGATGAGTAGGAACACAAAATATATAAATAACAATTTAAATGTTCATGTTATTTCCTAGATGTGATTTTATATGAATTTTTAAACGAAATTTTACCAAAAATCGCCCCAGCATCGGTACTTTTACCTTAGACGCGCTTAGTGATTTTTTTACTTTTCCGCTAAAACAAACGGTTACAGAATTTGTTGGTGGGCCTATATATTATATATATGGTGGATCTTTTTTTTTTCCGGTGTATAATATACGATTTTTCGAAATAAATGTCCTTTTGTCCTCAATGGAATACTGTCCCCCCCAAATAATTACCTAAATACGAATAACGTAAAAATAAAACGTGCGTCGGACTTTAAATCAAATGTAAAAGTAACGAACAAGAACAGTGTGATTATATTTAAATCAAAAATAGGTCACGTCCATTTTTTGTTATTAAAGCGAAAAAATATTACACTTTTCCCCCACCTTACACGTACTGTTTACGAATTTCCATAATCGCACGAAACAGCTAATCGAATATCCTTATAAAGATAAATTTTCGCAGACATTGGCACTCGCAAAAATATGCAACAACTATAAACGTGCCCCACAAAATATGACACTTTGACGCAGTAGGTGTTTAGCTCTCGCGCGTCATACTTAGTCGCTGTCCAACAATGTATCAACTTGACGAGACGTGTATACATATTATATAGTCGCGAAAAGGGATGAATAAAATGAAAATCCCTTGCGCAACACGGAGATGAATTTGCTTTAATATGCGCCAAAATTTATTTTTAATCCAACTAAATACAGAGAAGGAGTGGGTATGTAAAATCTACTTTCACGCGTTGGTAATTAAATTTTTACCACAACACGTATACCTGTAGGGGTTCAACTTGCGAAAAGCAATACAAAAATAGTTTATTGGATCTTTCGGTTTTATGTTTCATGTCTAGGATTCTGTAGTGCACACGTACTTTTTACAATTTTTTTTTTTTTTTTTTNACGAAGCATAAAACAAGGGTAAATAATATTTTTTACTAGTACGAAGTGAAAGATCTAATGATAAATTTAAAAACAAATTTAACTTTCTAACAGTTATTATTCATCTTAAATGGTTTTTTTTTTTAATTTGTTTCCGTACGTTTTTTAACAATTAAAAATACGCATATTGAGTCAGTTTGCAACAATGTTTTCTGAATTAACTGGCAGTGAGTTTCATGAAAATTAAAGAATTATAATATCCTGCAGAAATAACCAAAAGATACATCTCCTGCAATGAAGTTATAAAAAATGTTGTACAAACAACTAACGTAGACCAAAACACTTAAAAAAAAAAAAAACAATTGACTTACATCAAAAATCCTTCTAACTGGAAACAACAGTAGCTTAATACACAGCTTTCTTACACTCACTAGCTTGCAATCACTTACACAAGTATCTCTCCTCTCTACGTTCTTTCGATACATCTAAGCAATCTACTATGTACACAAGCACGCGCTTTCAAACAAAAATTACTCAACAACAGTAAGATCAGTCTTAGGCATTGCATAAAAGCTTGGTCTTTTACTTTAATCAAAAAAACTTTTTTACCATTCTTTTTATGCCACTAGTTCGCTTCTTTTTATTCGTCGGTGTAGCACAGCTACTTCTCGATTCGTCACTTTCCTCCATGAGTCCATTTGTCGTCCTTACGGAATCATCCATCGCACCGTTTGTTATTTCAAGTACCGAAAGCGAGTCCTTTTTTTCATCGGACCGCCTCTCTAACGGCTTTATTGCGTTCTCGTCGAGACTTAGGGATACTTTTTTACCGCTACTACTGCCCGTCAGAGCCATTCTTTTGTTTCTCGTACCCAAGGCTGTTTTCATGAACGATGGTGATGATAATTTTTTACGCAAACTACTGTACATACTAGATTCCTGAAAGTAAAAGAAATTATTTATGTAAGGTGTCGAGGACTTTTCAAATTAACTAATAAGGCATAAATACCGGTTTAACGGCTCCTTCTTCGAGGGTAGACGTCGCATTCGAGTCCTTGAGACTCCTCGACTCAGTACTCTTCATCGAAACATCATCACCCTCATGTATGGCAAGAATCTTTACCTTCTTATGAACTAATGACTGTTGCTGCTGACTCTCATCGAAATATTTAATAATATTGTCAGGCGCCGACTCGGGTCTGTCCTGTCTTTCCAATTCTAAATTCGCAAGGACATCTTTACGCCGATTGTTTTCCATAGAGCTAATGGCGTCACTGGCTGAAGCGCTTCTCGAGTGCAGTGGTACATTTAAATTCGCTCGACTGCCGCTACTAGTTTCCTTGACAGACGCCGTTCGCAATACAGCTAGATCCTTTTTGCGTTTCTTTTTTTTGCTATTTTTAGATGCACTCGCCGTGTTTTCGATCATAAGCTGATCGTACGTTCCCTTAACCTGCGGTCATTGATTTACATAAATTTAATAATTTTATGCTGTAAGAAAAGGACGGACTTTATAAATGTAGGTAACAGTATCGAGCCATATTACTTTGCAAGCTTGCCCACTAAAGCTCCGACCCTTCACCTTTTACAGCCAAAATAAAACTGTCACTGCATTGGAATAACAAGCGCGGATTTGAAAGCAGTAAAATTAAAGTGCATATTAAAATACAAACCTGTGACGCGATCTCGCTAGGCCTACGTTTCTTTGTCTTTCTAGTCAGCTGGTTGCACTTTTGTTTGATAATCTCGTAAGTCTTTCCTTGCCGGTTGAGCGTTCGGACAGCTCTGCCTTCATCTTTTTCATCCACGTAATCCGCATCATCGTCCACTCGTCTACAGTACGATATTATAAGAATAACTAGAACGACCTCGACTAGAACGAAGAGTCCGTGCTGGGTGAGGGCCGATATATCAAAGATCCGCCACCAGCTGTTGCGCTCGCTGATGAGTTCGTCAAGAAGCTTAGTTAGAACGGTTATTTCACCACGCAGGGTCGCGACTTCCTCGAGACGCTTGGTATGGCGCTCTTCGCCTTTGCGGGACTCCTCGTTCATAGCTGTCATCGCGCGTTCTAAGCTACGTTGCATCTCTTCGACTTGCTTTTTGTAGCGACGACTCAGCTCTTCGAGGTACTGACTGCTCAGCGACATGTTACGCTCCAACGTCTAAAATTACGAAATCGTTCAAGTTTTCGAATACCCTATAAAAATAAGTAAACTATTTGAAAAAACTCACCTTGATTCTATTCGAGAGTCTTTGAAACACGGACTCTTTCTGCTGTGGCGTGCCAACGTTGGCAGTAGATTGCTGTCCAGTCAAGGCATCGTTTTTATTGGCATTGCCGTTACTCTGAGCACCTTCCACTTCGAGATCCTTCAAATCGAAGCCTTCAAAGTTGACCTGCTCTGGGGACACTGGTTTTGCTGGCTCTGGGTCCACCTTTTCTTTTACTTTTTCGGGCTCGACTTTTTGTTTCACCTCCGTCTCATCATGTTTCGATTCTGTTTTAGAGCCAGTGTCAGTTTTTTCGCTCGATGATTTTGATCTGTCCGTAGAGCTAGGCGCTACTTTCGAGGATGACGCTGCGGAGGATAGCGATGGGACTTCTCTGCGTTGCGAAGATACTGATTCTTGCGATTCCTCTCGAGACTTTAGCGTGGAAGAACTTTTAGTAGTGACGGGTTCCGATGGCTCCGTCGTCGGCGGCGTTTCTATTTTGTGCACGCTGCTGTCCTCCAGCACTTGGTTCATACTTGACTCGAGATTCGGGACGAACGAGGGTACTTTTGCTTCTTCGGTTGTAAGCGTCGTTTTGGTAGGCTTGATCTGCAAATCATACGATTTTTAAATTGATGTTATTTAATTTCAATACCAAGTGGTGGAAAAATGCGAAGCTCTTGAGAAACGCGAAGCAAACCACAAGAAAACCATTCTAAAAATAAATCCGTATTACTTGTACCCTGCAATGTATCAGATTACGTGAGCTAAAACGTTTTACGATACACCTGAAGCGAACACGCACACACACAAAAAACACTCTTACGCATTGAACAAAAAGACGCAACTTGAAAATTAAACAGTAGTTTGAAAGTCTCAATAACCTGGGTGACGAGGCTCTCGCTAAGGTTAATACTTCCAGTCGGCAGGGAATCCAGTTTCGACTTGAGCAAACCGGAATCGGTGAGCTTGTCTCCGGAGCTCGTTGGAGGCTCGGTAGCTGTACTCGTCGGCTTCACAACTTCTCGGTCGACCTTGCCGGGGCTCGAAGCAACGGGCACCGGGACAGTCTGTTCGCTACGCGTCCTGTTGGGCGTGTAATCAGTAAGTTGCGGCTCTTGGTGACTCGTATTGGCGAAGAGACGCTGCTCGCGTGCCGCCAGTATGTTGCACAAGGCTATTATGTAGTCCGGCGTGAAGACGGAGGACAGGAAGCGCGCTCGGAAATAGTACTTTGCGGAATCCTTGATCTTCCGGATCTTGGTTTCGTCGACGCAAGCTTCGTTCACGTAGAGCACGTCGGTCCCAGAATCACTTTCGCACAAGCGGCTCTTGGCGAGGGTTTCCCGAATAAACGGCAAGCTGATCAGCGATTCGAGATAGTGTCTCTTGCAGCTAATCAACTGAAACACGCGACCGAAACGTTTGTCGTCGCACCCACGGCAAGCTATGTCGTACATGGGCGTGCCACAATCGTTGAGGCTCGCGTCTTGGAGCACGTCCCCGCTGATGCTCTCCTGGATCTTGGTGATATTATTCACGGTGGGCCGAAAGTCCGTACTTCTGATGAGGATTTCGGCACCCTTGCGAAGCAACCGCAACGCGGCAAACAGAGGATTGGAGGATACGCTCGCGGATTGCTCTTCGTCCACGTACGCGACATCCTCGGCGTCCTCGCCCTCCGCGCTGCCGTCATCATTAGTATCACCTAGAGATGAGAAATGCATGAAAACCGTACATGACATACCGACACGAAAAATGCTACGGTCGCAACTCGTAAGAGTATATAGAACCGAATAACAATTAAGGGAGAGAGATTTACCTCCAGATGCCAGCTCGGCTCGTCTGTTGTCAGTCTGGGTGTCGGATTCGGTTTCCGTCTCCAAAACCTCGAACTCGCTCGTCCCGTAGGCCCGAAACAAGCTGATCGGGCAAAAGTGCTCGGAACCGTAGTGCGACTGAAGCTCGACCTTGATATATTTACCGAAGAGCCGTGGCTCGAGTACGAAGCTCTGCACGTCGCGCTCGTCCCGCGCCGTGAACTGTCCAACGAGCGTCCAGTCACGGGTAGGGAAGCGATCGCTCACGTACACGGACAGGTCCTTAGGCGACGAGCTGAACAGCTCGAAGTTTGCTGAAAAATGAACCAATGATTAGCGAGATTTTAACGTGAAACGGTAACAATCTTTGGTTTCTACTGTATATGTATATATATATATATA